AACAAAAGCTGGTTATCATGCAGCCATCAGAAAGAGGCATTGCATAAGCACAATCAAGATCAGACAATGGTCTCTGAGTGACCTTTAGGCAAAGGAATTAACAATTGATTTACAGTAAGTTTCACCTGGCTTAAACTGTGCAAAAAAGTTATCTAAGTATTCACATCACTTCCTCCTAAGAAAAATGGGACTTGTTTTGTCAGAAAATTACTAGCTGAGCATTTTTCTAGCTCTCCATGACAGGCAAAACATGAAAACAGAGGAGTAGGATAGGRGAGAGCTCGCCCAATGCTGCTGTGGCAGGACAGAGCTATGCAAAGGTACCTCAACGAGCTGCTTGCACTGGCTGCTCTAACTCAATGTGGCTGCTCTAACAGCACTTTTATCCCCACCGTCTGGAAAATAATCAGTGGTCCATGATTACTTTTAGGAATCGAGTATATATTACGTAAATTCAGACTGACATGATTTCTATAATTCTGGCCYGCTCTAGCTAGCTGGTGACACAACCAATATAGTCAGTAGAAAATCCACTGGTATTTTCCAAGGTGCCCACCTGGTAGCAACACAACCTGCCCTGCAAAATAAGCTCAAGAGCAAATAGTTTCCTTGTGTGCTGAGTGCTCTTCAGAATTTCCTGGGCATGTAGGTTTGTGTTTTCTTCATGTGTTTWTCAACAAATAGTCAGGCAAATGCTGAATTACCTCATAAGAGAAAAAATTCTCAACAAAACCAATAAAGACACAGAATAAAAAAACACCACTCAAAGTTTTAGATGCCTAATTAAAATTACCCCTGAGTGCTGAAAATGAAAGATGATGCATTTAAAAAAATCTAAAAYAGAATTTTAACAAGCACAGTTTTGTTTTTTTAATGAAAGGGCCATATATAGCATGGGCACACACACCATTGGTAGATTTAGACTCTTATTATAAACAGCATGGATTTGTTTTACCAAACTATGGTGTGATAGTGYATTATAAAATCACAAAGTATTTAGGCATGKGTGCTTAAACCACACATATCACACMAAAAACTCATGCCTGTTAAAGAATGTGACAAAGAAAAAGGATTATTTGAAACACACGATTGCCATAGGATTTTGTAATCAAGAGTAAGACATCATGCAAGCAAAAAAGGTGTTGCTTTYTTTGGTTTGGGTTTTGTCAATGTTCATTACCAACTTGTCTAAGCCTACTGATTWCTGCAACATTTGCTGATAGATGATACTTTTTGGACAGCTTTCCTCAGTTTACTGTTCTGCATTTTTCTAATAATGCTCAGCTGCTGTAGTAACAGGCACTCAAACAAGCACTAAGTAAATCATCCCACAACATGAAGTCACCTGAGCATTTACCAGAATTTGTGCAGAGCAGCTGTAATTAATAGGGCTCCTGTGAAATACCATCTTCTGYCACTGCTGACTAGAACAGCTGATCTGTTTTACTCAGATTGGCCTCCTAGAAAAAAAAAATTATTCTAGAAATATCTGCTCACTAACAAACTCTGCTGAAGACATGCAGCATAAGAGAGCCTACACCTCATTGTAAAGACTGAGATTTGTTGATGGGGCATGATTCCAGTCATTTATGTACAARTAATAAAACAGTCATACAAAGAAGACAGATACAAGGAAAAAAACTATGCTTGTTTTCAAGTGTTTTACCACAGCTTGAGCAGTTTCTGATATTCCAAACAGAACAATTCCGACAATACCAATACAATTATTTTAAAGTGGGGGGGAAGCACCCTCAAATCTATCAAAATTTTCTGACACCTTCAGTCAGATTTGACTTCTGCTTCAGATACAACTGGTAGCAACCTGCACCTCCTCTTTTTTGAATGAGAGCTACCCAGTTCTTTCACAACACTTACTGCAGTTACTCTGTAACTCACAGAAAAGTGCCCCAGTCCCTCCATGAGCTGCAGAGTCTGCKATTCCCAGGTGTGTCTCTCTGGAATCAGCCCCAGCCGTCAAAAAATGCACAAACTATCAACTGCAGGAAAGATGAAAATAACCACCGCAGAAATGACAAAAAATTCAGCAATGCAAAAAGTAACCAAATCACCAAGCTGAACACAGAGCTGCTGCATATTCTTTCTCCCACGTAGTTGTTTTTTACATTTCATGATTAGTTCAGTAAACAACAGATGTTGATGAACAAAAAAATCCAAGGCACCCCCGAGCAAGAATGAGAACATTTCCAGACAGGTTTCTTCAACAGATGCTCTTTCAAACCTGGCTTTAAAGAAGATGATGCATTCTCACTGTTCTGAATTGCACTGAAGATGATGCAGTCTCACTGTTCCATCATATAAGAAAGGTATGATGACCACTAGAAGATATTGTAATTTTTTTAATCATTTAGAAAGTCACTTTCACAAATGTAAACAAGGTCTCTAGTAGCTGTAAAAGCAAAACAGCAGCTTTTAGGCTTCTAATATTAACAAAAAGCTATATTTACACCAGCCTAGAAAAAAAAAAAAAAAAAAAAAAAAAGGAGTAAAAAATTGGCTAACTTTGGGAAACAAGAAATCTGCTCATCATCTCTTGGATTACAGAGATGTTCCTCTTCCATGATGCAATTTCTGCATATTCTAAGAGCATACGGTGAAGGATCTGTTATAAGAAACCATAGGGAACACAACCCTACAAGTTATCTAAGAGAAGATTGTTCCTGGAGATGGAACACACTGCTTCCTTTCCATTGTCCCTTTCCTACCTAGGGCCAGCCAAAGTTTCCCCAACCAAAAGATGGACAGAAAAAAAGGAGGGGAGGGTGGGAGAAGTTAAAAAATCAAATCAAGTTTGGCTTGTAATCAGCACCATAACTGACACTGAATTTCCGGGGACCAGATACAGATGTGACCTCACAATGCTTTCCCTGACAGAGCCACTTGGTGCTTGAGGTTCTTGTAAGCCAAGAGAAGAAACAAATACTTGTAAAATACACAGAGGAAATTAACAGAAAGCAACAATGTTTAACAAACAGTTCGGTTTTCTGACAGAACCACTGTGCCTGTTTCCTAAACAGTTTTTCATTATTAATAAGCCACACAGCTCAGATTTGCACATAAAACCACTTATTACTGAGTCCAACATAAACTTTCTATCACAAGAAGGATAACTACCTGAAGCAAAACCTCCTCTAACCATCATCTGAAGCATGTGTATTCTAGAGAGGACATACAGCAACCTTTCATCAAAAAGCAGGCAGCATTCTGGCTGCATTTACTCACTGTGCTCTATCACTCCTATACTTTCTATTACTTTATTCTTCTTAAAAAGTTAAGAAATGAAAATTGAAAAAGGAGCAAAGAAAACCTTACATTTTAACACTAGCTTCTACTGGGTCTAACAACGTATACAGCATTTGGTGTCTGCTTGAGAACTTTGTTTACCTCTCTRTGCTTACTACCTCAGGCACTAGAAAAAAGGACTGTGTGAGGGATGAGATAATGGAAATTTTTTTGGATATTAGAGAAAAAAGTTAAGGCAACCTTCATCTTCTTGCAGAACTCCAACTTTTGACCCTTCTGTACCACTTCTTACACAGAAATACCCATGTGGTTTTAGTTTTCAGACACTTTTGATGAGCACATCTTTATAAAKAGTTGCTGCTCTGTTTCTCTAAATTCCTTTCTCTCTACTGCATTACATAATGAGATTTTTCTACCTGCACTAAAGCATTAACTGATTAAAGGTTAACTCACCCCCAGGAGAGAGCATCTCAATTAAAAAAATTCCAATCTTTGTAGTCACCGAGTCAAACCACAGCTCTTCAGCAGCTCTTCCACCCAACTCACCAGCTCCTGTTCCYCTGCTTGCTCCCACAGCCTCCCAGTGTCCCAGCCTCTCCTTCTTCATTGCTGACAGGGGATGCTCAGGTAGGGAGCACCTAAAACTTCCAGTAAGTGACTAGAAAGCCTTCCTTGTGACATGCCACATGACTCATTTGTCAAGGGTTTGTCTGTTTTGAAAACGTACATRAACATGAGTTGAGTTACCGTGTTAGTGTAACATTACATGTTTACAAAACAGTTCTAAAGGAAAGAGCGCCTTCTTGAAGCCATCACCGTCTCTTCTTGTTGGTCCAAACGCACACTGAGATTTGACACTTTAAGGCCTGAAACTCACCTAGGTTCTCACGGGCTCCTCAGACCACACAGCCGGGAATACCCCGGGGGAATTACCCCGCTCAGCAGCATCCTCAACTGGTTCAAACCTACTCATGTGCTCTTTAGCAAGAAAACTAGCAATTACTACTCCGGTTTTGTCAAAAGCTGCCTACGTTACTTCCACTAAGAGTCAGATAATTCAAAACATATTGGGATAAAATATGTAGCCTCAGGGAAAGAAAAAAAAAAAAAAACTTCAAAAATAAAAAAAAACCCAGAAAGCGGAGCCAGGGGCCGAGCAGGTCCCACGGCAGCGACGGCCGCTGTCATTTCTGCGGAGCGGCCCCGCTCCTCCGGCCGGGACGCCCGGCTCCAGCAGCTGCCTGCCCGCTCCGCCTGTTCCTCGAAAGCCCGCAGCGCCCTGGCCGAGCAAGATGGTACATTTGCACGGAGGGAATGCAGAGGGACCGGGACCCTCCGAGCTTCGGCGGCGCGGGACGAGCCCCGCGGGGCTGGGCACCGGCACCACCCGCGACGCCGGGCCGGCCCTGCCCCGAGCGCCAGCGGGCCACCCGGGCTACGGGCCGGGACACTCGGCTCCGCTGCGGGGGGACGTGGAGCCGCCTCACACAGCAGAGCGGGACCAGCCCCGGCCCGGGAGGCCACGGCAACGCCCGGAGCTGGGACCGGCCCGCGGGGCTCCCGCCGACCCAGGCCCGCGTCCAGCGCCCGGGGAAGGGGCTGACAGGACCAGGCTCCCGTTCCGCCGGGGAAGGGGAAGGCAGGACGAGGCATGACGGGGGCCGGRGCCCCCTCTCCGCACTCCGGGCCGCCACCACCGCCCCGCGCCCCCCGAGCACCGCCGGCGCTCCCGCCCTCACCTTGGAGCATGGCCTCCAGTTTCTTCCTGTCCACCCGGAATCGCTCCTCGCCCCACTCGGGGCTGTGCAGGGGCCGCGGCGGCCCGGCCGAGTCCTCCTCGGAGCCGGGCGCGGGCGAGTCGGCGCTGCGCTCGCTGTTGGAGCCCGGGTCGGAGAGCGGCTGGGGCAGGTACCCGCTCAGCGGGTCGCACTGCGCCGCCATGGCGCTGCCCGGCGGCCGCCGCCCCGGGCCCCACTCGGCCGCCTCCCCGCGGGACGCTATCTGCCCCCACAGCCGCCCGGCCGGCGCATCCCAGCAGCCGCCGCACCGAGCCCCGGCGCCGCCCGCCTCTGCCCGCGGCTCCCCGCCGAGTGAGCGCGGCCCCGGCCCGCCGGCGTCCGCGGCTCGGCGGCGCCCCCAGCCCGCCCGCAGCCCGCACAGCATCCCCACCTCCATTGGGCCGCCGCCCGCCGGGGAGGGGCCGGGGATATCCCCGGCGGGAGGGGGCAGCGCCGCGGCCTCGGAGGAGGGCGGGGAGCGGCGGAGGGAGGGAGGGCAGGGGAGGAGAGGGGAGATGCCACCGCCCCCAGCGGCGCCGCCCCCGCCTCAGGGCGCTGGGCCGGGGTCTCTGCCAGCTGGGGTCCGTGCCAGCCGGGATCGCCCTGTCAGCGGGATCGCCGCATCCAGGGACCCAGCGACCCTGTGAGGGGACCGGCAGTGACCCTGTGAGGGGACCGGCAGCGATCCTGTGAGGGGGCCGGCAGTGACCCTGTGAGGGGACCGGCAGTGACCCTGTGAGGGGGCCAGCAGTGACCGTGCGGTGCCAGCGACACGCGGGACAGGCGGGTGGCGATCCTGAGCTCCGCCGTGCCCAGAGCCGATCCCGAACGCCGTGAGGGCGGCAGGGACCAGCTCGCCGCAGCTTTGCCACTGTCCCGGAGCCCCTGCCCGCTGCCGTGCCTGACACATCCCCTCCCGGGGAGGGCCCTGGCTCCCGCTCGGACGTTTCGCTGCACGAAGCCTTGTCTGCCGCTAGAGACTGGGTTATGCATCCCTCATCTTCCAGCATTGCTGTTTATCCTCAGCCAGAATGCCAGAGCTGGGTCTCACACCGGCACAGTTCGTACCACTTTGCGAACAGTTTCAGCCCAGAACACACGCTGGTGTAGAGGAAACATCAGCATGAGCTGCCACACTGCTCTGGTGGCAGCAGTGGCATTGTGCTGTTCCCGCATCCAGGCACTGCCCAAGTGTGACTGCCAAAACCACCTGGACAAGAGGGAAACATGGACACCCCACTGTCTTTGGGTCTGTCTTGTTTCTACTGAGCCAGAGAAATCCTTTGTGACAAAAAATAAAAAGTTACACAGCACATACTCCAACAAAAGCTCTCTGTTTCAATTGCTGTTTTCCAGTCTGCTAGAAGGTGATCTGGCAGCATTGTCTCTGGAATCCCACACGGTATCCCACCGTGCAGTACTGCAGGTGCCTCTCTTTCCAGAGCTGGAGCATCCATGCATTTATGGTGGCCAAAGCAGGGTATTGGACACGCTCTGGAAGCCAATACATGATGATGAACTGACCTCATTGATAACATCAGCTTGAAGGACYATGTGGACAGTTGTGAGGAGATTCGCTGCTACCCCAGGTAGATGGGACCTGCACTGTGTCCAGTCTCAACACGCACTCATTTTTACAGAGTTCCAGTTTTGGCTTACTGAGTCTTCATGTATTTCCCACTGAGTTCCATGACAGTATTGAATTCTACAACACCCACCATTCCAGTTCTACATGACATTCATGGAGTGAGGTATTCTTATTGGAAACATTGAATATTTAATTGTAGTGTTCAATCCTCCTTGTGGTCTCAGCCTCTGCAGATGGTAGCCAGCAGCTCGCAARCAAAGCACTGCTCACAAGATCCTCTGATACTTCTCATGGCCCCAGGAAATAAAAAGTCTAAAGTCAAAAACACTAGAACAAAATATGAATATAGGTCATGACAACAGTGCAATCTCCCTTTCTCTTAATAGTTAGCTTGTAGTGTGATCTCACTTTAGGTGTGCAGGGCAGTCTCAGGACAGAGAATGATTTTTTCCTCTTTTTTTTTTTTT